CATTTTCAACAAGTCACTGGAGCTGTGTGAAGTCCCCTCCTGCTTCAAATGCTCCACCATCATCCCAGTCCCCAAGAAAACCTCCATCAGTGGACTGAACAACTACAGACCTATTGCCCTGACATCTGTATTTATGAAGTCCTTTGAAAGACTGGTGTTGGCCCACCTCAAGGACATCGTAGACCCCCTGCAGTTCACCTACCGGGTTTATTCGCAACAACCTTGAGCTGAACGCGCTCAAAACAGTGGAGATGACAGTGGACTTCAGGAAGAGCCCCCACCCTCAAGTTTGATGATTGACGTGCAGAGCAAAACAACTGCTGTCATCTTTGTGATGAGGGCTAAGGACATGCTACCCATTAGCTTCATCAAGTATACGTCCCATCAAGAAAAATGGTCACAGCACGACTGGATAAACTGTGTAATGATAATACATGTGAGCAGTGCTGCTGTTTGACAAGTGTTGAGAAGGCATCTCTGATGCATGATACATGGACAGCGCTTACAACTGAATCATATCTGACAGTCACCTGCCATTATATAAAGCAACTGGAGAGTACAGAGTGCTGTCACAGTATGTATACATGACCTAGCTAGCAATATGGTGTTATATTGGGGGAGGGGGCGTGGTCTTCGAATAATTGTTGAATAGCTCCCAGTGAATATCGAATAGTATTTTAGTTTGAAATACCCATCCCTTCTGTCCTCCAGCTGTCTGTCAGTTACTTGGCTCAAAAAGGAAGTGCCATAGAAAGCCAGTCATGTCGTCACATCTACTTAGCCTCTATTCCACTAGCTTCAGTGAGTCTATGCCATTTCCCATTTAGCATTTTTCCATTGGTCAATAAAAATTCTCTGGATTTTTTTAAATATTCTAAGACAATCCATTAACCACTACAACACTGACTACTGAAAAGTTGAAACCTTTGTGGTTTGAGCAAGGTTGGCTGATAAATTTTTTGGAACTGGAAAAACTACAGTTCCTGTGATCGCTTTGCAGCACAGCAGTACACATATTAACATAACTGTTATTTACAAGACTGCTGGACCTCGGCGATCCAAGTAGCACAATGATAACTGCATGTTTCTGACATTAGTTTCACCTCTCTCAAAATGTTAAGCTATAAAAAAAAAACAAAGTGTGTACTAGTTACAGCCACCTCTTGACCTGGGACCTGAGTTCAATCAACTGGCAGTCGACCAGCATCAGTTGGTGGCATTTCAGTTGTAATGGACTTGGGCTTCTGGGAAGTGATGTTCATTAAAATCAGGTAAAATCAGAAATTATGTTTGTCATTTTAAAGAAGTGTAAGCCAGGGGTGTCAAACTCAATCGCACAGGGGGCCAAAACTCAAAGCACACTTTAGGTCATGGGCCGAACAGGATAAAAATGCATTGAACAGACTAAAACTAAACGTTTTGGAACATAAATATTAATCAAAACAGACAGGATACAATATTATTCCAAAATAAATTAGCTTGAACTTAAAATCACCAACCGTATTTCTGCTAAGGCTTACATTTGCAAACACCTGCTTTTTGTTTGGACAGAAGACGTCGCACACTTTCATCATGCAGCTCTTCAAAAACTTTCCATTGGTAAATGTCCGGGCTCATTTTCTCCTCTGCCACAATAAAACTTGCTTTCACAGCAGCTTCACTGTGTGATTTGGCTTTAGTTAAAACGTCTGCTGTGATGTCAGATTCCTCTTCAACTCCTCTACCTTCTGTAGCTTCTGCTCTTCATTCACGTTTTTCAGCTTGTCCTGATGTTTTGTCTCGTAGTGCCGTCTTAGGTTATATTCCTTAATTACAGCCACATTAGCTCCACAAATAAGACACACGTTTACCGACAATGTCAGTAAACATATACTCAGCCTCCCACCGGTTTTGAAAGGCTCTGTTTTCAGAATCAACTCTTCTCTTGGCCATTGTTAGGGGCTAGCTTTGACTTGAAATTAGGGTTGTATACATCGACAGACGCTTGATTGATCTGACGTAATTGACGCGGGAATGATCGCAGGTAGCCTATCATTCGGTAAGGCAGCTGTTGCGCTGCATTATGGGATTTGTAGTTTGTGTGTTATCGGCGCTTCATATCGCCGGGCCATTAAAAAAAAAAAAAAGATATATAAAATGATCTCGCAGGCCAGATGTAATTGTACGCTGGGCTGGATGTGGCCCAACTTTATTATGGAATGTGCAGTATAAAATTTCATTTTGGTTTCTGAATATTTTTCAATATCTTGTTTCATTATAAACATATTTAAATGTCAAGCAGGGGCAGATTCAGAGCTGTTCTTAATATCCTGATCCTCTCATGTATGTAGCTGGAGAGGACAAAAACATAGAGACACCTCTGAATAATGTAGTTCAGTACAACACCACCTTTAACTATGACCTCAATAACAAAAATATAATTGAATTTATGCATTTATGACAATTTCACCAATAACAAACATTTTGAGCTTCATAAACACAGATGTTAAGTGTTAAAAGGTGTTGCACTGACGTTCATACAATTGTACAGGTGTATTTAATCAAGTGGCCAGGCAGCGTATTATCCAGGTGTGCTACACTTTGTAACCATTTCAATTTCCTTCAACACCTGCAACCTCCAGAATAACCTGCTCACCCATCCCTTCCCTCACTCTCTGTGTGTGTATCCTGTCTTCTCCCCTCTCAGATTTCCAGGCTATTTGAAAGCAGGAAGCAGCTTTTTGTGTCAGGCTACATGTTGTGTTTTGTCAGCCTGTTTTAATTGGCCCAGGTAAAGCTGGGAATTATAGCAGCCTAGTCAGGGATGTATCAGGTTTAAGCCTTGCCTTTCAAAGACAGGGATTTTCAGAGGCCTCTCATTTTGAAATCTCCTTGCTCAAGACTTGTATGTACTATGGTGTTTTCAAACTCATGTTTAACTTGCTGTTTGGATGGTAAAGGGCCACACTGCTGCTGTGTTCATGCACTTATGCAGTTATGTTCTATGTGAACTACTCAAATCAACAAAAGACATGTGGGACCATTAATCTAGTAAATTAGAATTGCAACAGATATAGTGAATAAATGTGGTAACAAAACATCTAGTGATAGTGATGGCATCACTATGACAACTGTTAAATGGGTAATTGAGGGTATATGCAAACCATTAACCCATATTTTTAACATGTCGTTTCGACTTGGGCAGTTCCCTAA